GTCATGTTGCCTTTCAGGTTGTTGGAGGAAGTCTTGCATTGGCGCCTTCCCATCTCCTCCTTCAAATGGAGCCAGGAGAGGCCTGGTGTCTTGGTCCAGTCTTTGCCGTGACTGAGTCTCTGGGTGTATCTCTACAGTGTAGAAGCAGGGACCATCCCTTCGAGCTGGAACTCCTCATCACCCAAACATGGATGACCGTCCAGATGGAACTCCTCAGCACTGCTCTGGGTGGGTTGTGGATGCAAGCCGGATGTCTCTCCTGGTGCCCAGACCGGATCACCTTGCTGCTTGGGTGGCTCGTAAACAAAGGGCCTACCTTGCTTGCTGCAGGCAGGCTATTGGGACAAAGGAGCTATCACCCTCCCCTTTGCTCTCTCGATTCGGATTCGGTCCCAGAGCCCAAACAGGCTGAGCTGGGAGATGTTATGTGGTCAAAGAGGGGAGGGAGTCAGACGGAGGGGGGAGGGTTGTGGATGCAAGCTGGGTGGGATAGGAAGAGAGAGGAAGTATCGTGCAGAATAGCCCCTCAGGATGACCAGGAAGTGTAGGAGCTGCTTGTTTCTTTATATTCAAAATAAAAACCATGAGAGAAATGTTTTAATTAAACAGCATGTGAAATGAACAACCACCATGACATTTGAAATAAGTCCCATGTATCATATATACATATATAATATATATCATTCAAAGCATCCCATCACCCTTCTAAAAAATAGACATAATTTTAATTAACAATGTTAGTCTGGGTAATCTCACTCAGTAAAATGTTTTCTATTTCCACCCATTTGCATGCAAAATTCAAGACGTTATTGTCTTTTTACCACTGAGTAGGAAATTAATGTGTATATTTTGGAGATCAGACCTTTGTCTGTTGTGGGGTTGGTGAAGATCTTCTCCCATTCAACAGTTTGCCTTTTTGTCTTAATGACAGTGTCCTTTGCATTACAGAAGCTTCTCAGTTTCAGGAGGTTCCACTTATTCATTGTTGCTCTTATTGTCTGTGCTACTGGGGTTATATGTAGGAAGTGTTCTCCTGTGCCCATGTGTTGCAGACTACTTTCCACTTTCTCTTCTATCAAGTTTAGTGTGGTCAGATTTATATTGAGGTCTTTAATCCATTTGGACTTAAGTTTTGTGCATGGTGATAGATTTGATCTATTTTCATTCTTCTATAGGTTGACATCCAGTTATGCCAGCACCATTTGTTAAAGATGCTTTCTTTCTTCCATTGCATAATTTTATCTCCTTTGTTGAAAAATCGGGTGTTCATAGGTTTATGGATTAATATCCAGATCTTCTATTTGATTCCATTGGTCAACATCTCTGTTTTTGTGCCAATAGCAAGCTGTTTTTATTATTGTAGCTCTGTAAAAGAGTTTGAAGTCAGGGATGGAAATGCCTCTGGAAGTGCTTTTATTGAATAGGATTATTTTGGCTATCATGGGTTTTTTTTCCTAAATAAAGTTGATTATTGTTCTCTCAAGGTCTGTGAAGAATTTTGTTGGGATTTTGATGGGATAGAATATGCTGGAGAGGATGTGGAGTAAGGAGAACACTCATGCATTGTTGGTGGGAGTGCAAACTTGTGCAACCACTTTGGAAATCAGTGTGGTGGTTTTTCGGGAAACTGAGAATCAACCTACCTCAGGACCCAGCAATTCCACTCTTGGGATAGGACCAAGAGATGCCCAATCATACTACAAAAGCATTTGTTCAACTATTTTTATAGCAGCAATATTTGTAATAACCAGAACCTGGAAACAACCTATGTGCCCCTCAATAGAAGAATGGATAAAAATAGTGTGGCACATATACACATTAGAGTTCTACTCAGCAGTAAAAAAAAATGACATCTTGAATTTTGCATGCAAATGGATGGAAATAGAAAACACTTTACTGAGTAAGATAACCCAGACCCAAATAGATAAATATGGTTTGTACATAAGTGGATTCTAGCCATTAACAAAGTGCATTGAGCCTATAATTCATGATCCTAGAGAAGCTAAAATATAAGGTGATCCCAAAGAAAAACATATTTATCCTCCTGGGACCTGGAAGTAGACAAGATCACTGGGCAATATTTGGGGGCATGGGGATGGGCGTGGGGTGGGGTAACGGGAGAGGAGGAGAGAGAAGGGAGAAGAGGAGGATTGGGGAGAGCTCGGGGGAGTGGGATGGTTGAGAAGGAAGGAGGGTGGATATGGGAGCAAGGAAGTAGATATCTTAATTAAGGGAGCCAATTTAAGGTTGGCTAGAGACTTGGCTCTAGAAGGGATCCCAGTTGTCCAAGGGAATGTCCCCAGGTTTGTCCTTGGGAAGCAGAGGAGAGGGTGCCTGAACTGGCCTTGTGAAATAGCCATACTCATGAATGTCTTGAATATCACCATAGAATTTTCATCCAGCTATGGATGGAGATAAAGACAGAGACTGACACTGGAGCACTGGTCTGAGCTCCCAAGGTCCAGATGAAGAGCAGAAGGAGGGAGAATATTAGCAAGGAAGTCAGGACTTCGAGGGGTGCATCCACCCACTGAGACAGTGGGACTGAACTAATGGGAGCTTACCAAGTCCAGCTGGACAGGTACTGAATGAGCATGTGATCAGACCAGACTCTCTGAATGTGGCTGACAATGAGGGCTGACTGAGAAGCCAATTTTAATGGCACTAGGATTTGATTCTACTTCATGTACTGGCTTTTGGGGAGCCTAGACTGTTTGGATGCTCACCTTCCAAGACCTGGATGAATGGAGGAGTGCCTTGGACTTACCACAAGGCAGGGTACCCTGACTTCTCTTAGGACTGGAGAGGAAGGGGAAAGAGGAATGGGGGGAGGGGGATAAAAATGAGAGGAGGAGGTGTAAATTTTTAATAAATAATGAAAATAATAAATAAATATAAAAAAGACTCACATGGTCAGAAAAAGAGAGGTGAATTCAGTAAAAGAAAGTTTCAAAGTTGAAGAAAACATATACATGTTTTACAGTGTGTTAAAAAATATGCAGGCTTGGGAGAGAAAAGAAAAACGTCTAAAATTCTGTAAAAAAAAAAAAGAGTAGTTGGGTGTTGTGTCACACACCTTTAATCTCAACACTTGGAAGACAGAGGCCGGCAGACCTTCATATTTCATTCTTGTATATACTTTCAGAGTTCAATAAACTGAAGTCCAGGCAGATTCTGTGATTTCTATTATTGCTTCTGATTTTCATTCATATTCATACATTTTTTTCCTTAGGATCAAAACAATCTCTGATGTTGTGGTCTATTGGTGTCAAGAAAATTATTACTTGATAGAGAATGACTGAAGCTCCTTCTGGAGAGATTTTTAGATGTTCACTATATCAGTGGGACAATTTTTACTCACTTTCAGTTTTGGTGACTTCTAGATTATTCTATAACATGATTTTCTGAAATAAATACTCTTGGCAGTATTGTTTTACAGCCATGACTACTTGAAGAAATCCATCTTTCCAAATTTAGAGTCCTGCTTCAGTTTCCCTATGTTGTGGGAATGATAGTTCTTTATTCCTGCTGGGTTTACCTTTGCTTTGAGTTTAAAGTGTCTCTCATCACAATTTTAAATTTATGTTATGCAGAATTTCCACAGTGAATTCTGGTCTTCTCTTTGTATTTCTGTTTTTTTAAGTATGTAACCTGGATCCCAATGTTCACTCAGCATGAGTGATTTTACACATGATTGATAATAAACTCTTTTAGATTCAATTCTCTCTCTCTCTCTTTCTCTCTGTCTCAAGCTTTTCATTTTATCTTCCATCTACTCTTCTTTTCTTTTGTTTCATATTTTCGTACTATAAGTTTCTTTTGCTCTTGTGAGTTTTTGAACATATTTCACTATTTCCCTAATACTGTTAATCTGATATAGCTTTCCCTACATTTCTGCAAAAGCAAACTGGTTTAATATGTCTTGAAGAAGTATGTCCACAGATGACTAAAGTTCATCTTACCATTGGTATCTTAACACAAAGTTGTTATTAAAAGAACTAATAGATTTCTGATTGAGAGCTATAAACTGATATCTTACAGTGATCATTCATGCTGCCTGTGGTGTTATGTTTGCCTGTTGATTGTCATCAGACTCACAATGCTGCCCTTATATATTTGCTGACTGCTTTGCATGGGCCCCTCCAGGCCAGCCCAGCTGCTCAAAATTTATAAACCAGATTTTACAGCATGAACTGAGCTGCATCAGATAGGCAGGGGGAGCAAAATGGAGTCACAGACACAGATCCTCTTGTCCCTGCTGTTCTGCATGTCTGGTGAGAAGTTTAACAGTGTTATAGTTGTTTTAGAGACACTTCTTTGTATATAAGAAATTTACAGTGTGTGCTAGGACATAATATTTCTTACAGTATTGTATAAGATATACAATGACAATGTGACATTGCAAGATTATAAAATAATAAATTTCATCAATCACTAAATTCTGTGTTTGCATATTATGAATCTTCATTTTGTATTCTTTATTGCAGGTGCCTGTGCTGATATAATAATGACCCAGTCTCCATCCTCCATGGCTGTGTCAGCAGGAGAGAAGGTCACCATCAGGTGCAAGTCCAGTCAGAGTCTTTTATATGGTAAAGACAAGAAGAACTATTTGAACTGGTACCAGCAGAAACCAGGGCAGGTTCCTAAACTGCTAATCTACTGGGCATCAACTCGGCACACAGGGGTCCCTGATCGCTTCATAGGCAGTGGATCTGAGACAGATTTTACTCTCACTATCAGCAGTGTCCAGGCTGAAGATTTGGCAGATTATTACTGTCAGCAGTCTCTCGACTCTCTTCCCACAGTGCTTCAACCTCAAACAAAAACTTCCTCTGTGAGCCTCACTAGTTGCCTGCATCATGCTCAGCCCTGGGCCTGTACACTTCCCCATTCTGCCTGAGAGCAAGTGAGACTGAAGCTATGATCAAAATGTTTTCAGAGATGAGAGAGATATAATGGATTCAGTGTCCCTAACATCTTTTGGTACAAAAAAAAACTGTATATGAAAATGCAGAAGAGAACACAGTATTATCTTTCTATTCTGTCTGTAACCCAATACTGCAAACTCTGTTGCTTGACTATAAAGGAATTATTTTTCTATACTTCTGGAGTTCTGGCATCTATCATAAGACTCTTTGGACTAAAGTGATGATGATGAAAATCTGTATTTTGCTTCATAAGGTATAAGAAAGTGTGTTTCCTACTTTTCCAGATTCCAGAAGGTTTTCATATTTCCTTATTGGTGTCTATTTTTTTTGTTTTTTTTCTTTTACTTTTATTACATTTTAGTAGATTAAGATTTTCTGTGTCAATGTGAGTGTACATTTGTGTGTTGTGTGCAAGTGTGTGCATATTTCTAGGTGCACATTGCCTAGTGTTGGAGGTCAGAACAGGTTGGACTTGATTGATCCTTTGTAATTTGGGTTCTGGAGAATAAAATTATATTTGACAGCAAGATTGGTTTCTAGCATATTTGGCATATGAGTCATCTTGCTACCCCTTAAAAATCTTTTTTAGTATAAATTCATTGTATACAATTTTCTTAAAAGCAATGATATCCCAGTATGTCATTTATTTTGACCATATTTGTTCATCTTCTCCATTTCTCCTTCTTTTTCCTGCTATCTTTTCTTCTCCAGTCTTTCTATTTTTATCTCTCTGTCTCTCATACATACAAAACACTCATTCCACACCTACCCACATACCCATGCACTATAAAAATACTATGCACATATAAAAAAGAAAGGTCATCTCAATTGTGAGAGCAAAGACAAGATGTTAATGTCATTAGAGGAGTAGATGAATTATGATTATCAGGAAAAGAGATATTAGTATGACCAATGCCGTTAAGTCAGAAACTCCAATACAATTTAGAAGTAGCGGTAAAAGAAACTAAACTAAGAAAAATCTAACGCATCAAGAAATTGTAACAATATGACAGAAATTCATTAATAATCATGTGTGACCACAATTCACAAAAATATATACATATTGTTGAACTAGGTTAAAAAAACTATATCCAACTATCTGTTTTCTCCAATAAACACATCTAAGTGGTAATAATACAAGTTGCCCTGAGTTTCAAATGATGAAAACAAATCTATCAAGGGAATGGGAGTAAAAAAAAAAAAAAGCTGACACAACTTCATTGATAACTATTAAATTAGAATCTGAACAAATCTTAAATGATTCACCAATAACAATTCCAAATATACATACATCAATCTTTGGGACACATGTTTTATATAACAAACCTGGATACATGGTGGGAGGCCTTGCTGGTTGGAACTTTCAGTCTACCATAACCTGTCAGGTCTCTCCAAACTTGGCAACATGGTGGATTCCCTTGGAAGGCACTCTGCCTGAACTTATTTAGAACTGTGTCTTGTCCAAATGCCCAACTTTTCTCTAGTGTGACTTGATGTAGGAAGGTCATCTGTCTATCAGTTGCTTTCATTGGTTAATTAATAAAGAAAACTGCTTGGCCTGATAGGTCAGAACATAGGTAGGCAGGGAAGACAGAACAGAATGATGGGAAGAAGGGAAGTGAGGCAGGCAGTCGCCATGAAGCTCTGGCCCAAGATGTATGTAGGTTAGAATCTTCCCGGTAAGCCACCACCTCATAGTGCTCACATTAATAGAAATGGGTTAATCAAGATGTAAGAGTTAGACAGTAAGAGGTTAGATATAATGGGCCAGGCAATGTTTAAATGAATACAACTTGTGTGCTGTTATTTTGGGTGTAAAGCTAACCATACGGGAGCCGGATGGGACGAAAAGAAGGCCTGCTTGCCTCTTCACTACAGTGACCATTAATACATTTTTTTCAAAGGATTTCTCTATGTTGCCCAAATGGTGATTACACATTGTGCTAGGACCTATTTGATAGGACTGTCCTGCTACCTATGATAACGAAGACTTGTGCTAGGAACTATATGGTAGGATTGTGCTGTACAATACAAATAATGTGATGAGACAGCCACTGTCCCATCTTTATATCTCCCCTCTCTGTAAACTGAAGTTCAGAGACCTCCCAGAATCTGCCTCCCAGAAGACTATTTATTTCATTTTCACAGGAAATCTAACGCTCCAAGTTGCTGCTTCTGCCCCTTTGTCATTTTGAACTGGTAAGCAATGGACTTTAATAAAAGGGGGATGCAGATAGAAGTTCAGATTTGTCCTGATAAAATAGAAGTTAATTTCGGCACACTGCTCTCCTCTTTAGATTCAAACTAAAAGCTCCCAGAAAAATCTTTGAGCCATACTGAAAAAAAAGTAATGGCCATCATGACATCTAAAATAAATTCTATCTATCTGTCTGTCTGTCTATCTATCTATCTATCATAATATATATCATTCTTAGCATTCCACCAACATGCTAAAAACAGACCACTTTAAACTACAATGTAAGTCTTAAAACAATTAAGAGAATGTAAATGAAACTAGTAACCAGTAAAGAAAGAAATTATAGAAACTAAATAATTAATTTGACATTTCATAGTAGCTTCTTGAATAACCATTTATTTATTGAAGAAGCCAAAAACAAAAGCCAACAATACCTAAAATCAAATTAAAATGACAGCACAACTTCCCTGGATCATTGGGTGGCAGCCATGTGATACTGAGAGGAAAGTTTATGGCTTTGAATGGCTACATTAAAAACCATAAAACCCTCAAGAAAATCACCAAATTCAGGGATCTCAAATAAGCACTTAATGATGAGCCTCAATATCTAAAGCAGTGATCAAATCAACCACAGAAGCAGTTAAATGATAGGAGGTGATATATTACCGCAGAAATTAATGAAATGAAACTAAAATAACAAGTAAATGTATTCAATAAGTTTGTTCTTTAAATAAATAGATAGACAACAGCATGCAAACTAACCTAGAGAAAAAGAAATCTAAAGTAATAAAAGCAGAGACAGAAGACATAGGTTTGCAACAGATTGAAATTTTCATTATAACTAAATATTTAGAAATCTTATATCCAAACTAAAAAATATAGAAGAAATGGGTATGTGTTGACACAGAAATTATAAAATTAAATAACTAAAATACCAACTTCATCACAGCCATAGCAAGCAACACTGTTGAAGTGGAAAAAATATCTATCAAAATCTCTCAAGACAAAACTTAGAAACATCATATCACTTCCCCTGAAAAGGAAGCTATTCACCATATTCATTGTATGAAGAAAGCATTTTACTGATGATAAAATAAAGTTTAAAATAGGAAAAAAGCCCGAAAGAAGAGACTGATTTCCCTGATTAACATAAGAATACCCTAATTCTTATAGTGGAAATCTAAGTACACATGAATAGTGTACTTAAAGTGATTAACCAAGTTAGTTATTATACACATATGAAAGACTGGCACAAAGATAAAAGTAGTAATTGCAATCCAATGCTAAGTTCTTATGAAACAGAAATCGTACCATTTTCTTGGAAATGAAAAACACATATTTAAGCTCATTAGAAAATTCCTGAATGGACAAAGAGTAGAAAGATTTTTCCTGAGTCTAACTAAAAATATAGGGTACAGTTACTGGTATGTACAAACCTATCTGCAACTTTGGTGCAGGAGAATTGTCTGTAATCTGTCAATCATGTTTTAAATAATGCTGATTGGCCAGGCAAGAAAACCAGACAGGAAGTAGAGGTGATGCAATGAAAACAGGAAAATTCTGGGAAGGAGAAAGCTGATTCCTCCCAGTCCTGCGCTGACCACTGAGGAAACAAAATGTGAGCTGCCTGTTGAGAAAGGTACCGAACCATGTGGCTAGCATAGATAAGAACAATGGGTTAATATAAGCTACAAGAGCTAATATGTAGCCTGAGCTAATGGGACATTCTTCAGGACAAGCAGATAGTGACTGCCTTTGAAATTTCCTGCTTTGTGGAAATGTCTGCTGGAAATTATGGGCTGCCATGCCGAAGATGGATGCCCCAACAATACAGAGGAACTTTGAGTGACTGTCCAGGCAGTGAGATGTCTCTGTCATTTCTAGAGTTTGAAAGTTGCTTATTTCTTGTTTGCTTAGGTAATATTATATCTTTCTGGACTCTGATGGAGTTAAGAATAGTTAGCTATAGTTATAGTTTTCCTTAGTTATGATATAGATTATTGTAATTTTTACTTGATAACTGTTTTGTTATATGTAATTTTGCTATGTGAAAGTTAAAGCCTTCCTTTTTTGTTTAAACAGAAAAAGGGGAAATGATGGAGGAAGGTCATTGGTTAATTATATAAAGAAACTGCTTGCCCTGATAGGTTAAAACATAGGTGGGAGGAGTAAACAGAACAGGATGCTGGGAGGAAGAAGAAGTGAGCTCAGACTCGACAGCTCTGCTCTGGAGCAGAGACGCCATGCTCAGCTCTCCCGGCTGATAGCTCTGTGCTCAGAGGCACTCGCGATGAAGCTCCAACCCAGGATGGACATAGGCTAGAAATGGGCTAGTCCAGGTGTGAGAGTTAGCCGAGAAGAGGCTAGATATAATGAGCCAAGCAGTGCTTAAAAGAATACAGCATCCATGTAATTATTTTGGGGCATAAGCTAGAAGGTGGCCAGGGTGCTGGGGACGCAGCCCCGCCGCTCCTCTTACAACAGAGGTGAATGCCTTCAACTACCTGGGAGCCCACCTCATTGGAATGTGTCTGTCAAGTTTCTCCTTGCAGAGGATGCTGAGACTGTTGCAAAGAATTAGAATAACCTTGGTTTAATAGGCAGCCAATCTACAAAAACTATCCTGGATGTCTCATTTCAGAAAAGTCTGCTGGCAAAAAGTTGAAAGTAAACTTCCTAAGAAAAAATTCAGGGTAAATTCCATTCACAACTTCAAAAACACAATACCTAGTAACAGTTTAAACAATAAGTTAAAGAACCCTACAGTGAAATCAT